TGTAATGTGATTTCTTGAAAATGTGATGTCTTTACAACCATTTCATGAAAAAAATGTACTGTTATAGAATGAAACCTTTTTGATTATACAATTTTACGATCAATTAAAACTTTTCGTGCTAATTTTAAAATTAATCACCTTTAAAAGACATTGCTAAACATTGGAATTTTAAACTCAACACTTGTTCGAGAATATCCGTAAATATTAATAGCTTTCCCACATAGTCATGCATTTCCAAATCCGAATATCCAGTCACTCCGCAGATAAGATCGGTGGTTCACAACAATACCTCATAGTTTTGACACATCCCATCTTCCATTCGCTAATATATGGTTGGCCCGTGGCCCCATCGACAGTTCACCATACATCTTGTGGCTAGCTGGGAGGTAGGCTTGTGACAATGGTGTACCCCAGGGGTCTGTCCTAGGGCCAGGTATCTTCTGTTCCCAGGACCTCTCTAGGAATCCTCCCTTTGTCATTTTGACCACCCCTCCTCAGGGGATTCTCCAAAAACACTTCCGTCCAAAGACGCTTCGCCGTTCGTGCAGGAAACTGTCAAATTCTGCGGTAGACCAGACATAATGACTGGGAATCTATTGTTGGTGAATGGCGGACGTTTAAGGAAAACGCCTTTCAGCTACTGGTAACGGGATTTGGCGCTCAAGTCAACCCGAAATTGTAAACGGAGGATGTTTATAAATACTTAAAGTCCTACTATTCACTGAAATCCTTGTCTACTGAGATGGTATCTGACTGATATATTATTATGACAAAAACACGAGTTAAATAATTTGATTTTAAATTCATTGTTCATTGGGACACCTTATAAGGTTATTAGTCACAAATTAATAGTGTCCGAGTGACATTTGTAAATAAAATGGACGTTTTAAAAGATTTTATGGGTAAATAAAAAGATTTTAATGTGGAAGGAATGAAACAATTGCATCGGGTTTTGATTACAGCTAGATTAAAACTGTCTTGATATCCAAGGGGTTGTAGATCTCGCTTTTAAATCTAAAGGCCGCTGGGTCAATTCCAAGCTTAAGTTTTACCAGAACCAAATACAATTTGACATCTATCAATTTCAATTAATCCCCTTTTCTACCAACCGTTCGATGTCAAATAGTAACAAAAAAGAACAGGGTTTTGCCCATTCCATAAACAAACAAAAATATCCCACTGACGTAGGTAGATACCAATATAAAACAAATGAAACAGTCTTAACTATCTTGTTTTAATTTACTGTCACTTCAACTGAAATAGTAAAAAAAACTGTTTGGACAGAAATATCTTATTTTCACACAAACATGACTCACTTACAGTTGTTTCATAAAATTTGGTAATATTCCAAAATTAATCGCCAAATTCTATTGCAAATCTAATTCAACAACGGTGACAAATGCATCAAGTAATCAACAATACAGTTTTTCAACGAGAACATACAATACATCATTCAACTTTTAACTGAATACACGAGCGTCAGTTTCTCGGACAACTGTGGAAGGACATTTTTCACCTTTATTTCCTGATGAGTAATATATCCTGCCTTTGACGCAATCACTCAAGTCCATTTAATCACTGGCTGTTTGCGCTGTTTGCCCACCGTCCTGTTTACACGGTTGGTTCTCGTCGTATTTTATGTCGTTGTGTTAAAATAAATAAACCGTATGACAAGCATTGGTTGATCTTGTCGATAACAGTGGTTTGTTGGGAAAGGTATAAATGCGAGGTGTGTTTGATTATAGATTAATGTGATGGTTTATTTTTATTCCCCGTAAATTTTATTGTGGTTTGTGGTTGTTCTGTATTCATCTTGGATCGTTTATGGTAAATACAGTAAATGTATATAAATGTGTATATGTGTGTAAATATACAGTAAATGTGTGTATCTTGTTCTACTTGTATCTTTAGAAACAGATGAAAAATTAAATATTTTAGGAAATTATTAAGGTCTGGGAATGGTTTTAATTATAATTATATTTTTTATCTACATTGAAATGCTATATTATTTTGGAAGCAGTCTTAAAAATTAAAGTTTATTTGTATTTTGAACTAATAAAACAATAAATCTAAGTCTAGTAGTTTGGAATTACTATGCCTTCAGATCTATACTTCTATTAAAAGTCCATTGGGAAATTGTATTAGAGAAATAAATTTTGCATATAAATTAATGAAAAATAGTCACAAGTAAATGTTAGCATCTACTTTGACCTCCTGAAAAACGCGAAACTGTGTTTTAAAATGTTTTATAAATTCTACCTTTACTTTTCATACTTTATTATTGTAGTTTATCAATGCTATATTAATCTTTACTGAAATTTCTACTGTTTTCATACTACTTATCGTAGCACCATCTCAAACGTCTTAATACTAACAACACGAACATATTTGTTACATTCTATACACATGAACATAAGTAATAATGTTTTAATGTTGAAATATCCACAAATAACACTCGTATTCAATCTCAGACACACCGAAAGTTGGTTTTACTCTTTTGTAATAAATACACAATTTATTCAAGTGACCCAGATTTACAAAAAACGAGTAGGGTAATAGTGAACACGACTCTAACGATGCAATACTGGGCACACATTGCCATCTGACATGCAACCTTACCTGCACTTCCCTTGGTGGAAAATGCGATGTTTCAAACAAACTAGGAAATTGCACTGCAATTGTCTGTTATATTTTTGTTGTTTGAGTTGATGCAACTAAAGGTTCAACCGTGGAAAAGTTTGTATAATAGTCTAACAATGTTTCATGATTCCTACGTAAATCCATGGTCTGCTAGATACAAATAGGCGCTTGCGTAAATGTAGGGTCCTAAAAATATTATGTAATACACTATAGGTTGATTGTATCGTTAAAATTTAGAGCGATCTACGGTATTATGAATATATGGGTGTTACAAAAAAATATATATATATAATATATATATATATACAACTGCACTAATTTTGTACAGTACGTATATTTTGTTAGGTTTTAGCATTTTGTTAGGTTTTAGCACTGATACCATTGCGGAATTAACAAAAGTAACAAACAAGTTACATAAAAATATAAAAAAATATTGTTTCATACTAATAAATTTACAAAATAAACAAAATTGTACATTTATCGATTTTACAAACGTATGAAACACAAACCACCATTCCAGCCACATTATTTGCCTTACCGCTCTTTAAAAGAGGTTGCCCCAAAATTGCAACTTAATGAAAAAGCCACAACGCCGGCTGCTTTGAACCCAATCGGCAGCTGTTTTCCAAAGTTGTTTTAAGCGAATAGTCAAAGGGCTGCAGACAAAGAGGATGCTTTGTAGCTCAATGAATACTTGTTTTGTAGCGGAGCGCTATTGTGTGATGTTTGTTTTGGTTTGTCTGCCCGTGGTCCGTGAAGCATAACCCACCGGTAGGTTTTTTCCAAAATGAGGGGGGGGCGAGGGGGGTAAACGGTCCTAAGAAACCCTTCGGATGGCTGATCACGTAACTGGGGTCTTTAGAAAATGATAAACGAAACCCCCAAAGTATGATGGATGGTTTGCACCGGGTGCCGAAGTACGTGTTGGGAGCTCATGGTGGCCAAAATGTGTAAAGTCCCAGAATACTATTTATATTTTCAGAAAATATTTAAACTAATTTCTGATAGACATTTTTCTCCAGACTCACCAGAAGTGACAAAACTTAAGAGATGAGATCAAAAATCTTTTTACAACTCTCACTGTTTAAAAGAATGTTTGGAGGTTCCGCTTGGTAAGGAAATTTAATGACAAACTAACGAGACAAAATAAACAAATATTTTGAAGAAAATTGCATACTTTCTAGACGAACATTCGAGAGAACTAAAGCATTAGGATAAAACAAAGTTAAATAAGCTACTATTAAAGAAAAAATCCCAAGAGTCACAACTTCTCTTAGTAAAAAAATACAGATTTTATACAAATGAATAGTAAAAAAAAAAACTTAACGATAACAATAACTTTAATGTTACAACTAGTACACAGCACTCTGTTTTTGTTTTTAATACTCCTTTACCCCATTTAAACAAAAAAATATTTCACAAAATCACGGAATTGTACATTGTTTACTTAACATATTCAAAAGCCACAAGGATAGCATGCGACCGTGTCCAGTGGTATCAGATAGGGGAATTAGTGACCTGACTTCTTATCAACGTTATCAGGTTATGCAAACCGCCTCACCTCGTTCACTAAATTGCCTCTATCTTCTTACAGCCTAATGTGATTTTAAACGCGTTGGCCGTTAATTACCAACTCCCACGCCCCACGGTAGATCGGTAGATGTCCCTGTACAATTTGCCCGTAGCACGTACACAGCTGGTTTGGGTGATATAGAGTCAGACTCCCAGGTACTTAACATAGATAAGTTTGAAATGTTCACACGTAAGTTTAAATAATGGTGAAAGATTGGTTGTACGTAGTGGACTAGTGAAGAGTGTTAAATACAGGGGATGTGTCTCGGTGTCTGTGTTGCTAAATGTTAGGGTATTGTAAGGTAGCTAAATTTCTGAGGAGTTTCAGTTATTTAGCTTCCGATTTTTTGTCCAAAGATTCATCAAAAACTATGTTTGTAGTCGTAAAAGGTGTATTGAAATGATAACGTATACTACACTATATGGCTGTAATTAATCAAACAATATAAAGTTACCTAATACAGCTAATCAATTGGTAGATAACATATATTTGGGATTTTTAGTGTTATTGAATATTGTCAATATTGATACATAAAAATAATTCAAAGAGGATTTATAGTTTATGGCAAATATACTTTATACAACATTTATAGCTAAATAGTTGTTGATTACCTGTATAGTTGACAATTATTATGATTAGTACATTGCTCTATGAGGCGCTGGAGGTGGTGGAAGGGGAAGGTGGCTGAGGTGGGGGTATGCGCGTGGACGGTGCTGCTGCCACGCGGGCTCTCCTCGCACCGCTCAGTGGACCTCGCATTTCTCGTCAGTCAAGCGCTAGTCCTCGTTCTGTACGGTGTCGAGAGAGAGGCGCTTCCTCGTCGTGCGGTCTGCTCTCTCTGTCATTCTTCGCGCTTTTTTCAAAGTCGTGTCATAGTGTATAGTATCGAAGAAACGTGTGACCTGTAAATCTTCTGAACTCCGCTTCGACTCCGGATAGTGATTCAGTGCAGTGATGTGTTCTGTGCTCCACATTGGATTATCTATTGGATCAGCGATGTTGTGAAAATGAGTGAAAAATCCAGTCGGATTTTTAAAAGCCTTTGAGTTAAAAAGTTCCACAACATTATTTGGATATATATCGAGCCGATGTAAGTTGTAAATTTTATTTAGTGATTTAATTTTGATTTTTGAAACAAATTTTCGGGGGAACAATGTTGAAGAGAAGTTTTTCGAATTATTCTAAAATCCAGATTTAACGATAACTGTCAAGATGCAGCCTGTGCCGTGGCTGGGTATGTTGGTCTCCTTGTCCGCGCTGGTGGTGACCGCGGTGACCAAGATTGAGACGCCGGAACAGTGCGTTTGGAGTTCTGACAACAACGAGACGGGCAAGGTATCGGCCTCGTGCCGGGTGCGGAGTCTGGGGTCGGATGGCGCTAACATGACCACTCTCCCGGTGGACGGTACGGTCAAACTGCGCGTGGACTGTAGCGAACTCCTGCATTACGAGAGCTTCCTTCCTCCTCGGTACTTCCAGAGACTCCATCAACTCGAGGACCTTACCATCAGCAACTGTAAAATCATGGAGTTGCCGGCCGAGTCGTTTGACGGACTGCGGGAGCTGAAGCGGTTAACCATCAACACCCACAACATGGACTGGGGTACGGGGAAAACTATAGCGATCGGTCGCAACAGCTTCGACGGTTTGCGAGAGCTACAAGTGTTGGATCTGTCGAAAAGCAACGTGAGATCTTTGCCTGACGAGGTGTTTTGTTCGCTCGGTAACCTACAAGTAGTGAACCTCACTAGGAACAGTATTCGAGATATGAACTCGATAGGGTTCTCACCGAGGCAGCATAAAGAGTTCCAAGAGACTGCAGTTACCACAGCTAGGATTGAGTGTGCGGACGCGCTGGACTTGCGATCGCTCGACCTGTCGTACAACGATATCAGAACGATTCCCGACGACTCGGGGATAACTAGACTGAGAAGGCTGCAAAATTTGTTCCTACAAGATAACGATATCGCGGATATCGGACCCAACTCGTTCAACGGACTGATCTCACTGAGAGTGTTAAACATGTCGAATAACAGGTTAGAATCGCTTCCTGACGGACTGTTCGCTAGCTGTAGAGAAATAAGAGAAATTTATCTGCATAACAATACGCTTTACGAGCTGGCGCGAGGTCTGCTGCATAGATTAGAACAGCTGTTAGTCCTAGATCTGTCCAACAATCAGCTGAGCAGCAATCAGATCGACGACACCACATTTGTCGGCCTCATTAGATTGATTGTGCTCAACCTGTCTCACAACGCCCTCACTAGGATAGACGCCAGAACGTTCAAAGACCTGTCCTTCCTGCAGATTTTGGATTTAAGAAATAATTCCATCGGATTCATCGAAGATAATGCGTTCCTTCCTCTATACAACTTGCACACTCTAAATCTAGCTGAAAATAGAATTCATCATATTACGTCCCAACTGTTCAACGGATTGTTCGGCCTAAGTAAATTAAATTTGAATAATAATTTAATCGTAAACATAGATCCTCAAGCCTTCCGTAACTGTTCCGATCTAAAAGAACTCGATCTCAGCTCCAATGCCATTCAATACATTCCAGAAGCTCTCAGTGAATTATCATTTTTGAAAACGTTAGACCTAGGAGAAAATCAAATCAGTGGATTCAGCAACGGTTCGTTCAAAAATCTCCAGCAACTAACGGGACTGAGATTAATCGACAACAATATTGGAAATTTGACCAAAGGAATGCTGTGGGATTTAACTGGCCTTCAAGTGCTTAATTTGGCGAAAAATAAGATCCAACAAATCGAGAGGGGCACTTTTGACAGAAACGAACAGCTCGAAGCTATTAGACTCGACGGCAATTTCTTATCTGACGTTAATGGTGTGTTTCAAACTTTGGCGAATCTTTTATGGCTGAACTTGTCTGAAAATCATTTACTGTGGTTCGATTACGCCTTCATTCACAGTAATCTGAAGTGGCTAGATATTCACGGTAATTACATAGAGAAATTAGGAAATTATTATAAAATTCAAGAGCTTCATATTAAAACTTTAGACGCTAGTCACAATAGAATCAGCGAGTTGAACGAACTCTCTATACCTAATAGTGCGGAAGTCGTGTTCATAAACAATAATTTTATCACGAACGTCAAAGTGAATACGTTTTTCGATAAAACCAACCTGGCACGTGTGGATATGTACGCCAATGAACTGACCAAATTGGATCTGAACGCTCTGCGGTTGTATCCCGTAGATCAGAACAAGTCATTACCGGAGTTCTATCTGGGAGGGAACCCGTTTCACTGTGATTGCTCTATGGACTGGCTACCGGTCATCAACAATATGACCGCGGTTCGACAATATCCGCGCATCATGGATCTGGAGAACGTGATGTGTAAGATGACCTACTCCCGGGGAATGATGCATGTCCCGGCCTTCGAGGCGAAGCCCTCACAGTTCCTGTGTCCCTACGAGACCCACTGCTTCGCCCTGTGTCACTGCTGCGACTTCGACGCCTGCGACTGCGAAATGACTTGTCCTCAGAACTGCTCCTGTCACCACGACCAGACCTGGAACACCAACGTGGTCGACTGTTCCGGCCAGAACACCGACCAGATCCCCCGCAGGATACCCATGGACGCCACGCACGTCTACCTCGACGGGAACAACTTCAAGGAGCTGCAAAATCACGTTTTTATCGGAAGAAAAAATATGAAAGTCTTATACGTAAACAGCAGTAGGATAGAAAGTATTCAGAATAGAACGTTTAACGGACTCTCTTCGTTGCAAATTCTTCATCTTGACAACAATTTAATAAAGTCCTTGAACGGATTCGAGTTCGAGCACCTGTCTCATTTGAGGGAGTTGTATTTGCATAACAATCTGATCTCGTACATCAGTAACCTAACGCTGCTGCCTCTGCGCTCGTTAGAAGTGCTGCGATTGGACGGCAACCGACTGGCGACATTCCCCGTGTGGCAACTGACGCTCAACTCCTACCTGGTGGAGATCTCATTAGCCAACAACCAGTGGTCGTGCCGATGCAGGTTCCTGCAAGAGCTGCAGCTCTGGGTGTCCGACAACTGGCACAAGGTGATTGACAGCGATGCGATCTTCTGTCTTTCTAACGATACGAAGCCTCCCCACCGACGAAGAGTCGACTTCAACAACACGGCTTGCAGCGACTACTACTCGGGCAACTCTGTCATCCAGAGCCTCATTGTATCCGACTATCTGCCCATGATGATCGTCACGCTCTCCGCGTTTATCATTGTCATTTTACTCGCCATCATTATGTTTATTTTCCGCGACCCCGTGAGAATCTGGCTGTATTCGAGATACGGGATAAGACTGTTTAGCTTTAAAGCGGCTTCTGCCAAGTACTACGGTGAGGACAGGGAGAAGTTGTACGACGGCTATGTAGTATACAGCCCCAAAGACGAGGAGTTCGTCCTACAGAGCATCGTAGCGGAGTTAGAGCACGGGAATCCTTCGTTCCAACTGTGTCTACACTACAGGGACTTGCCTCACCACGTAGTCAACTCCAACTCCCCCTACATGCAGCACACCACATGCCCCGTGGTCGTGGAGGCGGCTGAAGCCAGTCGTCGAGTCATCATGGTGCTGTCCCGCAACTTCCTCCAGACCGAGTGGTCCAGGTTCGAGTTCCGGTCGGCGCTCCACGAGGCTCTCAAGGGCCGCATCTTCAAGCTGGTGCTGGTGGAGGAGGGCAGCATCCTCCCCGAGGCGGAGCTGGACCCCGACCTCAGGCCTTACCTCAAGACCGGTGCGCGAGTGCGGTGGGGCGAGAAACGGTTCTGGGAGAGACTGAGATACGTCATGCCCAGTACGAACAGTCAGAAGAAATCGTGTAATTATAGAAGGAATATTAATAACTATAGTATAGACTCGGGAGTGCACAGGACTGCCGCCGGGCACAACCACGCGTATTTGCACGAGAAGTCGAAGCAGCCCGTCTCGCCGGTCCTGCAGCAGCATATAAACAGTCATCCGCTGTTCAAAGCCGCCGTAGTGACCAACGGAGAGATGCTGGTCCCCCCGGCGTACTCGTCGTCCAGCACACTGTCTCGGACACCCACCAAACCCCCCGAGGACCCCAACTACTCCTCAGCGACGACTGCCACCCCCTCGCCTCGACCCCTGCACCGGCCTTCGTCAGAGCACATCTACTCGTCCATAGACACCCCGGAGTACCCCAACCTGGAGAGAAGCTCTATCAGACGAGCGGGCGGAGTCCCCATCCATCAACAGAACTGGAGGACAGGCACGACGGTCGTGGACTCTGGAGGCGTCCAGGCGTACCTCGTCTGATGGCATTCCTAGACCTTCGGGTGAGTTACAATGTCATGCTATCAATAGGTTAAGACTTTATACACGGGCAAACTGGTTAAAGTTAATAATAAATCATTTTTATTAAAATGCATCGTAGGCTATGGAAATGATCTGTTGATATTAAATATTTCAAAATAATTATTTGCATTCAAATAAATAATTTTATATTACTGAATAATATTTTGCAAGTAAAAGACATTTTTTCTCGTAAAAGTGATGTTTTAACTAACCTGACCTAGTGAAGGTGTTTTTGTTAAATATACCCAGACATAAAAGATAAGCCATAAGAGAGATTAAAAAATTGTTATTGGTGAATAAAGTAGGCTACAAATACAATGCACATCTGAATCGTCAAAGACAGTACATAGAGTAGTTTAGTAAACTTCAAAACCATTACAGCAATTAGTCAGCTTATAAAAGTTCTATAATTCTCATAACTACAAAATATTTCAACAAATAAAAATAACAATACCGTTACAGACTTAATAAAGCTAATTTTCATTTTTAGATTCCCAACCCATTGTGACTATTATTAGATTCAAATAGTTACTGTAAAAATCAGAAATCCTAAATATCGCAGCATTTAATCTCGCACAATGGCACTAATACTCCCTAAGCACTGTAATTAATTTATTGAAATGTTTACTATAATCTCCTCTAAAATACATTTTCATCGGTTTAATTCGCGTATGCTCATATCCACACTAATTAATATTAATGCATTTAAAGAGGTTTTCCCCGAGAAATATTCTCACTAAAGAAAGCTTAAATGCGCACTAAACCCTCCCTCTGAGCTCTTGAATATTGTGTACTTAAAGGACTTCCTTTCCCTTAAAATTATATTATATTGAGCAACAGTGCTAAATATCTCTTAAAATACTTTATACACAAGTATCATATTATACGTACCAATATAATAAAACTGATTCGGTTTTTAAATACTATCACGTTAAATTTCCCAATGAATGTTTCAATTGCTGTTTAATTTTACTGTTGCATTTTTAACGTTTAATTAATAATTTATTGTGGACATTTTGATTAACACCTAACCAAAAACAAAAACTATGATTATTTTTAAAATATGGGTCAACATAAAACAGTATTATAGTACCATATTTAACTTAAATATCAAGAAACTATTAATTTATAAGTTTTTCACGCTTTGTTTAAAGTCATATGATTATTTCATGTGGCAATTTGAATTAATTGGTTAATTAGTTTCTTATATATCTACTTTACTTTGCTCTATTGTTATTATAGTTATTATTATACTTTATTATTGTAAGACTAGGTCTATGTAGTTAAGAGTAGGAAATTAGCTGAATTTTGTAACTTAAGCTCGTAATTAAATCACCAGACGATAACTGGTAGATTCTAGAAGATATTTTTAAAAATATACAAAGGGAACATATTACAGCTATTGTTTCATTACTATGGTAGTATTTAGCTTCGGATATCAATGTGAAAACTTTTTAAACTGCACAATATAGCTTGATGTAGGTCGTGTTGTATAATTACCACGTATACAATAATATTTAAAAAATCCTAGTCTCGCCTAAATTTATGATAGGCCTATTTAATTTTGTTTTGTTTCTACACAAGACACGTTTGACATTTGCTACGTCACTAACATGCTTAAATTAAGCATAGTTGTTTACGATTCTTACTTTGTTTAAAATCAATTACGTACTGTATCATGTAGTGAGCTTCGTACAACAAATTCCCGACGATATGATACCTCATAAACCACATTATACTGTATTACCACTTGATCGCCAACGGTAGCCACAACTGTGACTCAGTCATGTTTAGCCTCCTTAACCATACACTGTATTACCACTTGATGGCCAACTGTAGCCACAACTGTGACTCAGTCATGTTTAGCCTCCTTAACCAAAACCATACACTGTATTACCATTTGATCACCAACTGTAGCCACAACTGTGACTCAGTCATGTTTAGCCTCCTTAACCAAAACCATACACTTTATTACCACTTGATGGCCAACTGTAGCTACAACTGTGACTCAGTAAATGTTTAGAAACCATATTACATTGTAATACCACTTGATCACCAACTGTGGCGACAACTATGACTCAGTCAATGTTTACCCACCATATTACATTGTAATACCACTTGATCACCAACTGTGGCGACAACTATGACTCAGTCAATGTTTACCCACCATATTACATTGTAATACCACTTGATCACCAACTGTGGCGACAACTATGACTCAGTCAATGTTTAGCCTCCTTAACCAAAACCATACACTTTATTACCACTTGATCACCAACTGTAGCTACAACTATGACTCAGTCAATGTTTACCCACCATATTACATTGTAATACCACTTGATCACCAACTGTGGCGACAACTATGACTCAGTCAATGTTTAGAAACCATATTACATTGTAATACCACTTGATCGCCAACTGTAGCGACAACTATGACTCAGTCAATGTTTAGAAACCATATTACATTGTAATACCACTTGATCGCCAACTGTAGCGACAACTATGACTCAGTCAATGTTTAGAAACCATATTACATTGTAATACCACTTGGTCGCCAACTCTAGCCACAACTATGACTCAGTCAATGTTTAGAAACCATATTACATTGTAATACCACTTGATCGCCAACTGTAGCGACAACTATGACTCAGTCAATGTTTAGAAACCATATTACATTGTAATACCACTTGATCGCCAACTGTAGCGACAACTATGACTCAGTCAATGTTTAGAAACCATATTACATTGTAATACCACTTGGTCGCCAACTCTAGCCACAACTAGCACATAGTATGTTTAGCCTCCTTAACAATATTACATTGTACTGTATTGCCAACTGGTGCCACAACTATGACTCAGTCAATGTTTAGAAACCATATTACATTGTAATACCACTTGATCGCCAACTGTAGCCACAACTAGCACATAGTATGTTTAGCCCCCTTAACCATATTACACTGTAATACCACTTGATCGCCAACTGTAGCCACAACTATGACTCAGTTTGTTTATCACTACAGTACCTCATAACTAAGGCCGAGGACTATGTAGTATAAGCACCCACGCTTGGTACCTCCTCCAATGTTTTATAGCTACAAGTCTTTCCACTTAGCACTTCGCGATCCAATCTTGTTTTGGTGTTCTCAGTCGAGACGGTGGTGCCGGCCTGTCACATTCAGCCGATATATGCATCTCCCACCCTCGCGCATAAAAATAGCTTTTGTTAGGGTGTGCAGGTCGAGAGAATAGGGTAGTTTGTGAACAGTCTAGTATATTTGGTAAGAGAAAGTATTTCGATAGGGTTTTTTAGGTTTGTGATTTTTTTACATTCTTGAGACGGTTTTCGTTTATCTATATGATTTAATGTATAGTGTAGTGTTGTATACATACAAATACAAGGACCAGATACTATAAATTTTCTAAAGTAGCAAAAGTTTACTGAAAGCATTAACTTGAATAGCAAATTCCTTGGGGGGGGGGGGGGTGAAATTTAGTTTTTTTCACCGTACAGAATTAAGTTCAAGTGTATCAAATCATGGTTCTATTATCTATGATCAAACATAATTTTGTAGTTATTTATTATAGCCACAACTCAAGGTAACATCTCTTTGAACAAGATACAGTCGTAAGTAAATCTTGGTCACATTCATTAAAATTAAAATCAAATCTATAAGTGATAAAAGTCTATACTGGTAATAGGTCTTTAAATAACCGATCTTAAACACCGAAACCATTACGTAAAGTGAACTAACGCTCGACCGAAACACAAAAGCTCTCGACAAAGTGTTACTCAACCGAATATCGAATACAAATCGGATCACAATAGTTATCGAATCAATTGTTATACTTTAACTTCCTTGCATCAAACCGCTGCTGTAAGCGGCTCTCGCTGATTGCGTCAGAAAATAATCCGCAACGCGAGAATATTAAATTATTTTCGACGAATGTCGGCGTTTTCCGATACATACAGACCAAAGCCGAATTGATCCCTTCTCCAAACTTGTGCGGCGAAATTCCTCGCCAACTGCAATTTAATTTTGTCACTCTATTCCAAATATTTACCACACGATGGAATCGACTCCGCGTTCGGTAAAGTTTAAATTAAAATAGTTTAACTCGCTGTGGGCGGGCCTAGGGAGAACTGTATTCGAGACTGTATTCCTACGCTACTTCAGATGGCATTTTATTGTCTTCTGTTAATTCGCTAAAAGTTTCCAGTACTCAGTTTGATTGCTGTTCGTCTGTGTGCTTTACAAGTTTCTCCGTTTTAAGTTTCTGATCAAACAAATTCTAACTTAGTGGAATGTTTACTTACTGTTCATACGTTATGGAATCATTATTGTGTTTGTTTCACTATATACTCGGTAATTGTTAACCTCTTTTGTATGATAGGGTACATACAGTATGTACATGTACAGTATGTACAGTTAGTATGCTAAATTTCTCACATATATTTAATGATACAAAAATGTGATACATATCTCCAAAGCGTAAAAATATTAGATTTGAAAATAATCTAATAAAAGAGAGTAACTGCCACAGTGGATTGGTCAATAAATAAGATGGTAAACAAAACTTTTTGTGTAAAGAACAATAGAACATGCGCTTTTACTGCTATGTTACCTTTTAAAATAAACACATTTTAATCCACTGAGAGAAAGAATGTACAGAAGAATGTATAAAAATATCAACAAAATCTGTTGTTGTATAAAAATGTATAAATATAAATGTATACACACAATCTCTAATTATCTTTTGAAAGGAGAAACACACGTACCAACAATAAAACGGCTTGTAAACCTAGACATAAACCACATAGCACTTTTGAAATGTTCTGTAGCAGTCTTAAACAATAATTCAAACCAGAGTTTGTAATTAAATTTGACGGCCGGACACCAGGCAAAACCTTTGGCGCAAGAACCTACATTTGCATCTTTATCGCACATAAAGGGGCTTAGCACGGTTTCAAAGTAGAGCCTTT